GATTTTCTACATTTCTATTGCCACATTACACCATGGATTATCAGTACCCTCTCTCCCACCAGAAAGAGTCATTAGTGCATTTAAATCTAATCAAATTAGGGAACCAATTCCAGGAACCTCAGAACCAATTCAGAAAATTCACTCTTAAAGAGTCTGTTCCTTTAGAACTACTCTCAATACCAAAATCAGTAACAGTCAGAGTACTCAAGAGAAACAGAATCAATAGGATGGATGGATGGATGGATGGATAGAGAGGGAGAGAGATTTATTTTGAGGAACTGGCTCACACAACTGTGGAGGCTGGCAAGTCTGAAATCTATAGGGTTGGCTGGAAGGCTGGAAACTCAGGCAGGATTTTTATGCCATAGTATTGAAGCAGAATTCTTTCTCAGTTTTTGTTTTCAAGACCTTAAACTGGGGACTTCCCTGGTGGCGCAGTGGTTAAGAATCCGCCTACCAATGCAAGGGACACGGGTTTGAGCCATGGTCTGGGAAGATCCCACATGCCGCGGAGCAACTAAGCCCGCGAGCCACAACTACTGAATCCCGTGCACCTAGAGCCCGTGCTCCACAAGAGAAGCCACTGCAATGAGAAGCCTGCACGCAGCAACGAAGACCCAATGCAGCCAAACATAAATAATTTTTAAAAAATGACCTTAAACTGATTGAATGAGGCCCACCCACATCATCAAGGGTGATCTCCATTATTTAAAGTCAACAGACTGTAGAGAATGATGGCGTCTACAAAGTGTTTGTTGAGGACACTTGGTACTACAGTCAGACGGTTTGCATTTTCCTGACCCCGTAACTATTCCCCTCTGCTGTGATTTGCCCCATCCACAGTTTCAGCTGTTTCTATTAATTGTTTTCATTTCTTCCTGAATGCCTCCTATTTCCCCCTTTTTTGCCCCTTTTCTGATACTTCTCAGCTTAATGCTACCGGCACTGGTTTTCAACACCCTCTTCTAGGCACATCAAGCCTCTTCCTCCACACTGGGTCTCCTGTACTTTTAGTGTCTTCAGCATTTCTTGGCCATTTTGACCACTGTCAAGCACTGATTCACTTCCAGGGTTGGGGCTGCTCCTGAGGAAAAAATGTAGCTGCTAAATGGTAACAGATATGGAATAGTTTACTTCTATTTAATTTATGTTTGGGATACAAATGAAACAACTGGATTATTAGAACTGTGTTATGTTAAGTGAATCTGGAAACAAGCATATACTCTCTTAATAAACTAAAAAAATGGGAATAAACAAGATTAGGTCTTAGAAGGGGATGTGCCTTTAGGGGGACACAATGATGAGTAAGATGCCAGTGAGAATTCCCATAACAATGAGCTCTTTGAGCTGAGGAGAGAGGTGCTACGTAAATGTCAGGTTATATCACTGATACTTAAGATGTTCCAAAAAGGTCAAGCATTAGCCAAAGGGAACAGAATGTTTTCAGCTTTTAATGGACCAGACCCATTCATTTGGAGGAAGTTTAAAAGGAGTCTCACACACAAGGTGGATAAACAGGGTTGCAAATTTCTACCAAAATATTAACACCTTGAGTAGGTTTTAACACTTACAAATTCATCTCAAGAGGGTTTGAATCAATCCACAAACTTTTATACTGCTGTTCACATATGGAAACTTTATAGTTATATGCATGCATATCATGACTTCTACATAACATGAAATACATGGATAAGAAATTCTAAAGCCAGTAAAACATTCAGTTTGTTCAAACGCCCTCATTTCTCAGAAACATCTGAAAGTCTAGCATCAGTATTTATTTTTATGTGGATATTTTATATAGACCCCACCAAGCTTTATTTTCCAAAGAGTTCAAATAACTAAAAGTAAGTTCCTACAGTCAAATTAAACATTTCTTACTTTTTATGACATATGGAAATATTTTTTAGAGCTCTAACAAACTGGGCCATGTCCCAAAGCTTCAGCTTCTCCCTCCTTAGGGTGACAAATCAATTCTTACCTTGTAATGCTGGACAGTTACTGCGGTTCAGTCATAATCTGAAGCTTCCAGACACTGCCAGGATGTGGATGGAAGACCAGTTCGTACTGAACATTTTAGAAATTCTGCAGCAAGTCTTCATCCAACTCCTGAGTTTCTCTTTCTCTTCAAGTGTATTTTAGACAATGATTAGTCATCAAACATTTCAATTCGGCAAATATTTATTGAACTCAGAGCAAAGCACACGGCTAGAAACTGGGGATATAGAGGTGAACAAAAAAAAATTTCTTGCCCCCAGGAGCTCTTATTTTAGCAGATGATACAGAGGACTATGTAACTAACTAAATTGTGGGTCACTGCAGTCATAGACTTAAGCAAATTCCTAAGGCAAGCACAGAGGAAGGAGAAAGTCATTCTGATTTGTGGCATTAGGAAATGCTTCATGGAAGGAGCAGGGCATTTGTGCCGCTCCTTGAATAGGCTAAACAAACAAACATCCCAGGTTGCTTGGGATAGTCCCAGTTTACACTGTTTTCCAAGCATAATTATTCATTATTAGCACTGCACTTTCACTCTCAAAGGTTTTCTTTGGACAATAAATTATATGATCATACTAGTATTGGAGCACACATAAGATGCTGACACAGAGAAGAAGGACGGTGAGAATTTCAGATGGACCAAACAGCAAGACAAAAGGCACGGAGGAATAAAATCCCATGGTATGCTAGGGGAAAAACTGGGCTTAAAATCTTGAAGAGGGAATTTGCCGTCTTTTCTGTTGCTGTTTGAACTGAAGTGGAAGTATGTTCTATAAGAATTGTCATGACCTGCTATTTGCATACTTATTTTTCTTTCTAGGAATGTGACTGTTGTGCAACAAAGACTTTTCCCATATTTATCTCTCATTTTCCATTTTCATTTGATCAGACAGTTTTATTTCTGGCAAAGTATTATATTCACATCACAGAGAAAGGGAAATTAAAAACCAATTCAGACTTTCCATTGTCTGCCTTCTGACCAGTTAACACTGAATTAAAGCATACAATGTGCTCTGAGTTTGCCCTTGTACTTTCCAAGAAACAAATGTTTCAAGAGAAAATAACCAAAGTTAGAAAGACATTACTTCTGTCCTCATAACTATTCAGGGGGAAAAGGACAGAATATGCTGAAATAATAATGAAAATCTTAACTAACTTGCATTGCTTTAGAACAAGAGATTGACATGATTACCTTTTGGAGTGATAAAGCCAATCTCTGATAGGAGTAGTCCTCTTAGGTATTTTTTTTTAACAAAAAGGTTCTAAATGTAGAACAAAGAAACAAGACTGTCACTGTGCATAAATATATGAAAAATAATACAGCCATCACCCAAGCAATTCCAACAAACACTGAAAAGCCTCTATCTTCCTTATCACATAAGTAGACTTGATTTCCATGGCTTGTTAATCTCCAAAGGCTTTTGTCTCAGCTCTTTAGGATCATTCAAAGACCTGAAACCACTGATTCTCCGTGTAAGAACTGAGAGAATACAGAATATGCAAATATGCAATAACAATGGTGTGAAGGGTTGGGAAAGGGCCATCGCAGGAACCACTTAAAGGAAAGGTGATGCAGGGAGAGGGTGGATCCCTCTGACCTCCTGCCACACCTGCTTCTTTCTGGAGCTGCTTCAGAGCTGCCACTTCCAGGCAGGAATTTAGGTCTGCATCTAGGCAAGCCCTTTGCTCCTTTCCCAGCCCAGTTCAGTATCAAGGTTTCCCATAGCATGAACCTGGCATCCAGCTTTTTCTCATGAGTAGAGGATACTGAGGTCCAGTGACCTTCAGAGAGGGCTTTGAAAACTTTTGAAATTATCCAAAATGTTAACAAACTTAGAAGGAACATCTATATTTGACATAGTTACCTAATTAATCTGATTTTTCTGGCTTCCTAGGAGTATAACGTAACAGGAAACACATTGGAAGATGCTATTTTAATAAAAAATAACCAACATTTTTTTCCTCTCCTCCTTAGGCCCTCACTTTTCCTTACCCCGACTCTCTTCTAGCTGATGTAGCTGCCTCTAGTCTCCTCCCACTTCAGGCCACTTCTGGGCTGCTTCCCATAATTCGGGGGACAAATCCTTTCCTTCTAAAACGTGACTTGATTATGCCCTATTTAAAGCTTTTTGATAGCTCCCAGTACTAAAGGATACACTGTAGTTACCTGAAGCAAGACGTGCAATGCTGTGCACAATTACCTTTCCAGCCTTACATTCTTTCCCTTTCATGCCTGATGGCTTTGCAGAATTTCAGCCTGGTGAATGTGCCCTTCCTATGAAGACAGCCCTGGCTCCGAGACTTAGTCACGCTATCCTGTGTAATACCATAGCAGGGCCCGGATACTCTTATGGGTCTGAGTGCTACTGGAGCACCTCGTTCATCTGAAGATCATCATCGTTGCTTAGCAGATGGCCTGGTATGTTTGTTGAGTAAATTTAAAACGGTAGCTGAACAGGGAACTATATTCCATATCCTTTAATAAACGACAATGGAAAAGAATATATATATATATATATATGAATCACTTTGCTGTACACCAGAAACTAACACAACATTGTAAATCAACTTACCTTCAGTTTTTAAAAACGTAGCTGAGGAGTTCCCTGCCGGTCCAGTGGTTAGGACTCTGTGCTCTCACTGCAGGGGGCACTTGTATGATCCCTGGTTGGGGAACTAAGAACCCACAAGCCGCGGCCAATAAATAAGTAAATAAGTAAGTAAATAAATAAATAAAAAATTTAAAAGGTAGCTGAATTAGTTCCCATTTGGCTAGAGCATCCTTAAATCAAAACCACTAGTCCTAAGAGGTTTTATTGGCTCCAAATGATTACCTGCATGTTTGAGGCCACATTTGACTAATCACACATTCCTATTGATAGGCAGTGTGGGGATGTGTGCGCCTAAGTGTACCAAAGCCAAAGATATATGGGATTCCTCCTAAAGTTGGTTAGGTGAAATGAATTCAACTTTTGATAGATGAACACACAAATCGCCACAAATTGCTTTCATATAAATATGTTTTATTGCAGAGAAGTTATAAGTATTTACATGCTGCAACACGTCACGACATAAATTTACCAAATATTTTGTGGTGGGATGCTGTAGGTTTCAGATAATAGTTTCAGAAGAACCACAGATTAAGTGAAAAGACTGACAGCTTTATTGACTCTACATCTCTCGGTTGCTAAATGCTAGAAGTCAAGAGGCAGTGTTTTTTTTCAGTCCTACCTGTGTCATCACTTGCATGCAGAGACCTAGGAAGCAAATACAAGAGAACTGTCGAGTTTCAAATCCATATGGCCACCAACGTTTACAATGGGTTGGGTTATAATTCATGTCGTAAAGCGTTTAACTCTTGCATAAAATATACAGTTCTATTAAGATTGGTATAAATCTACTTATTTATAAACCCTGGCTTAAAAACAAGGACAGGATGCAGCCTGCACATGCACTGAGAAGGACAACCTAGCAAATGTTTGTGAACTTAATAGTGTTTCTTCACTTGCTTATTGTTATCAATCTGGGAAAACAACCTCAAGGATTGAAGATTTAAACTTCTCTTGGTGATAAATAATGGCAATGAAAGTCTAGGAAAGACCCCAGGCGCTCTTGCTGATTTATGCTGGTGGAAGAGACTCTATGGACTGTACTAAGGTAGAAACTGGCAAGTCTTCTTTAGGCCACATCTCTAGCAGGGTCATCCTGAAGTGCAGTAAAAAGTCACTGATGCCTGACCGCTTATTTCTGAAAAAGTCAGTAAAGTACTAACAGATCTCAGATGTAAAGGAAACAAGTAGGTGGGTCTGGACACTCCAAACCAAGTTCACAACTTTATACCTTAAAGTTGTAGTCCAAGGTCACTAAGTAGATAGATAGGCTTTGACTGAAAAGGAAGCGGAGAAGGAAGTAAATGAAGAAAGCAAAAACAAATAGAATTTCTACATCTCTTCAAACCTACCCCACCATCCTGAGTAATGCACGAAGCAAGCAAATGGGTGAGGAGATTTATGCACAGCTTTGCAAAATGGTGAAATGCATGTTACTCCTGAATACAAATCACTGGGAAAATTTTGATGATGAATAGGAGAATTCCCAGTTTTTATCTTCCACTGAGAGTAATATTCCTAAGAACAGCCCCGTATCCACCTTCTGATGCCCTTTTCTCAACTTCTACCCTCCTAGCATGTTCTCCTTGCTGCTCAGAAAATGAAAAACAGTTATTTAGGCTATAAATGTTCTGGCCGAACAAGCCGTGATACTTCAGCATTTAGCGTGAGAGAAAGGAAGTCTGGGTTCTATTTTTAAGTGATTCACCTTAAAATAAAATGAGACTGAGTTTTGCGATGGAATCTCTTTGCATGATCACATCAGTAGGGCTAAATCAGTAGCTTCGGGTGGCTGTGCCAGGTGATCAGTGTGGAATGCGATACGTTTTATGAAACATGCTTTGGGAGCTGCTGTGCCTTGCAAATAACCCCTACATTTGGAATTTTGAGCCTGGTAGCTCACCTAGGCCATTTGCAGGACTTGGAAGTTTTCCAGGGCTTGGAAGAATGAAGAGCCCACACTGCCTCATAGGCTTTGAGTAACTCTGGTTATAAACCTCTTTGGGATTCAAGCCCAGCAAGTTCTACCCCTGCCTGAAGCAATGAATAAGAGTTTATGAGAATAAGTAGTTTAAGGTAATGTAAAATATTATATATTTAGTATACATAATAAAAATATATCCATATAATGATCTTGATGCTATAATAATTTTTCTCTTTAAAAATATAATCCCTTGAAAGTGCTATTGGGAGCTCCCTTTCTGTCTTTGTTTTAAAGGCAAATCCCCTGGCTCTGCAGTACTCTAATTCTCTTGTCATTCCCAGAGTCTTCCCTTGCCAATGGTAATAATAATGCACAGTATATTTTTCTCACTCTTAGCTTCTTCCTTCCTTACGAAATGCTGCTAAGTATGAAATCCTGAAAGAGTTAAAAGGGACAATTAATTGGAATGAAGGCATTATCTATCCCTGACTTTGAACAAACAATAGATAAGTTGTCCTTAACTTAATGAGATGTATGACTAAGTAGGACCACTTGATCTCCAATATTAATAAAGCTTCTGAGTCCTAACAGGAAGTGCAAAACAAGAAACTCAACTTGTATAAAAAACCCTTATTAAGACAGTATAACAAACCATGATGTGAAATAATAGAGTCAAATCCAAATTCACAATATATAAACCACAGCCAAAACTAAAAGGTTTTATCATAACAGTTATGGCTTCCCAAGCCAGAGAAAGCGTACTGTACTTCAAGAATCAACTAAAGTTGATAGATAGCAGGTATTCTGGAAGTTGCAATAACAATTGAGTAGCTGCAGATTGCATAAATGTGTTGTGTCACATAATATCAAAGTTATTTGCAAAAATTATACAATCTGGAATGCTGGAATGAGACACAACAATGTACTGAAACAGACATTTATAAGAAAATGAAAGCAATCATTAATATAAAAGATATTTTTGGATGCATTAAGTTAGCAGTGCTATCAAGGTTAAATAGGTAAAGTTCTTTTTAGTCAGCTACTTAGAATTTCGGTCACATACGTCAATACCTTCCTGTCCTTTGCCAAATCTCGTCCCTCTTCTGTGTCTTCTGGTTTGCCTTGCTTGGGATCTTCAAAGTCCCAAGGGTAAGTATTGATCAGGGGCAGACATTGAGGGCTACTTCCCCCAAACATATGCTAAAGTGTAAGGATTTTCCCAGTGTTTCCTGGGGCAAGACTTTCCTGGCCAGTCTAACTATTCCATTACGACATTGCCCTGGCCTCCTATGTTTTCTTCCACCCCTCCCTTTCACATTTCCCTTGACTGACCAATACTCCTTGGGAATTTGTGATCCTGTATCTTCTGTCTTATAGCGAATTCAGCGTTTCTTCCTTCTCCTTTTCTTTCTGGGGATGCTACACTTTAAAATTATCCCAGACCTCTTATTTCCGAGGCCCTGCTACCTTATTTGCACTTAAAGCAGAAGAGGCAGGGAAAGCTACACTTCTTTCAGCATTTGGTTGATCTGGGGTCTCAAACTCCCAGGGACATACCTCAGCTCGTGATGTTAAGGGTTGCTGAAAGTTATTACTTGAGTTATATGAGTCAGGCACATTTTGCTCAGAGGAAGATGTCTTTTTCTCCTGGTCTCCTAGTTGGTTGAGGTTTTCATTCTCCACTTCTGATGCTACGGCTTTGGGAGGCACTTCTTCACACTGCCCAGCACACACACTGGCTGCAGAGTGCTGGCCGCCATTCTCCCCTTGAGCTCTTCCTGGGGGAACCTGAGTCTTGGAAATCACACACTTCTCATCTTCAAAGAGGGGCTGAACTTGGCTCTCCCAAGGGCACATCTCAGCTTTGTCTATGCTCTTCGGATTGGACTGCTGACATAGTTCAGCTGCCTTAGGCTTGGGATGAGATTTCCCCTTTAAGGAAAAACTTGGGGTTTTCTCCATTTCAGAAGCCGCAATCGATACGTGCTTTTGAACTTTTGATTCTGAAGGCACAGGACCGGGGGTCAGGTCGTAGATCTCCCAGGGGCACACCTCCCCTATGTCAAAGCTGTCCTTCATCTGGGGGGCGCCTGGACTCAGGTCGGAACTGGCAGTGGGGGGGTTGGCCCTTTGCTGCCTCATGATCCCAGATTTCGGAGGTTTTCTTGGCTCCTCTGAATGATTGGAGTTTGAGGGGGCAGAGTCTTGAGTCTCTGTGTTATCTGAATTTGAGTATTTTCTGTTTGTCTCTTTCTCTCTCGTCAGAGCTTTCTGGGCTTTGGCCCGTTCCTCCACGCCGGACGCCTGGGTTTTCCCGGCCAATCCGAGCGTCTTCTCTTTGGCACTGGCGATGACGCTGAGGGACTTCTGTAAGACGGATGTGCGGGGCGGCCCGGGCTTCTTCTCCGAGCTGAGGTTGTGGGCGCTGGCCGACTTACACACCAGAGGCACGGACTCGGTGGACACGGCCTGGCTGTCGTCTTGCAGGGCTCGCGGTCGGTTCGTTCCCGCCGGGGACCCCAGCGCAGAGTCGTCCGTGGCCGCCGCCTCCTCCTCCCGGCTCGGGGCAGGCGGGCTGCCCGGGCTGCCCGGCTGCTCCCGCACGTGCTCGTACGTGCTGTGCGATTTCTTGAGCGAGAAGACTCGGTTCCGCAGGGACTCCTCCTTGGGCTTCCCGGCGCCGCCCGCAGCCTCCTGCGGGTTCCTCCTGCCCGGGACGGCGCCCTTGGCCGCGCCGTGGTCCAACGCGTCCTTGTCCTCCTTGGAGCACTGACGGCTGACCGTCTCCGGGATCTCGGTGATCCGCCTCATGATGGAACGGCCTAAGCCCTTCTTCGAGCACCGCTTTTTCTGGAGGTGGGGATTATTTGTGATCATCTTCTTCCTCTTATAGATTTCCAACTGGGCGTAGAGTTTCTTCAGCTCGTCCTGCCATACATAACAAGAGCAGATTCAAAGAGGTGCGGAATTTAGCGTTTGGGCCGGCTCACATCACTAACTGTAATGTGAAGTCAATGAACGGAGCTCCTCCTAACATCTCTGCTCATCAACTTTCCCCTCACTCTCACGTTCTGATTCCTCTGTATCTTGTTTCACACAGCGTTTGAACTTTAAGACGTGAACTCCTGCATTCTGCACTTGCTTCATGCAACAGGAACTTTGAACTTGTGAATTGCGTGGACCAGGCTGAGCCTGGACCATGACAAAACACAGCCTGTTGTCTACTGAGAAACCATATCCCTGAACAATATGGGAAGCATCATGTAGCCACTGATAAAATTACACCTAATGTTAAATTAGTGTACAACAGACCATCAAATACAAAAGCATCTTCTTCCTCCAAATGCTGATATATTGTCACAGACTATTTTAAATATTTCACACTCTCTGCTCACAGATCTATCCTAGTTTCCCATCAGCAAGATCTCATAAACCGTCATCATGGGACATGTACAACCAGTTCACCATCATGGTGTCCAATAAGTCAGTTAAGACTATCAAGACTGGCCTGTGTGGCCTAACTTATACTGTGATTCTATGTTTTAGAACTGGATTAACTGCATGTGATGCCTTCAGTTCTTACACAAACACACATGCTCTCTAACACAAAGAAGCACACATGAACATCGACCCACACGTGCGAGCCTGTATGAATGGGTCTAATCTAAAACAGAAAAGAAGAACTACTGGTATTACCCGAATGTCTTCTGGATCCAAGCTGTGCTCACTCCAGGCTGAATTGATACTGCTGTTCAGGTAGGATCCAGATCGGCCCATGTCTAACTCATCTTCGTACGCTTCTGTAGCAATGTCGTCTCGTGGGTTATTGCTTGAATGTGAAAACTGCAATAGAAATTCAATATGAGCTGTAGACATTAGTCCACCGTAGGACACAACATAATACTTTTCTGAAGGTTCTACTGTTACATCATTTCTTCAGCTTAGATGAATTCATTCACTGAACTCTTTACAAAATATTTGCTGCCATATGTGTGTTTTGTTTCCCACCTTACATGCTAGAGCACTTAGTGAGGCAACATTAACACTTGGTTCCCTCTTTGACTCCTATTTTCATTCTTGTCTTTTTTCCAGGTTCCAAGGGTTAACTCACATTATTCCTCTTCAACGATATTTGCATTTTGAAAATGAAAATAAGTAGAAGAATCCAAAGAAATGTTCTCTTAGGGTACTCTTAGTACACTGTACTCTAAGAGTAGCAATTTAGACCCACTGGCAGCTGAATGGGAATATTTTTTTGAGAGGTGGTGTGTATCATGTCATTTCACTTTACACAGAGGAGGCTGTATTTCATCTATGGGCACAACTGGACTGATCACAGGAATATGACTTTCAGTCTGTCACACAGAGCTTCAAAAACACGACTTTCAAAACTCAGGGCACAGGAGATCTGAATTCCAGCCTCGACTCTGTTGTCAGTGGGATCTTAGCCAGGCCATGGAACCTCTCGGGAGCACAGTGTCCTCTTAGCCTAAAGGGCTTGCGCTGGATGGTATCTGAGTTTAAAATTCAAAGATTCACTGAAATTATAGATTTTTTTTCTTAAGCTCATCATTATTCTCAGGTTCCTCCTTCATTGCATTTTGATATATTTTCATTATCTTCATGTAGCCTTTTGCTATTTTTCAGTTTCATGTACTCTTGCTATCTCTACTCTTCTTCAAGTGGAAAAGTGAGGAAGAATGAATTGGGTAAATAATGGAGAGCAGGAAAAATCAAAAGTATCCAGCCACATTTTACACAACATATAAACCAAGTGATTGTCCTATGAAAATTGAGAGAACTTGGGTTCTCTTCTCCTAGCTTGTCATCAGGTAAAATATTTCTTTAAATAATGAACAGGTTTTAAAAAACTAAAAATAGCAGTCCCACTCCTGGGCATATATCCAGAGGAAAACATGTTCAAAAGGATACATACACACCCAATGTTCATTGCAGCACTGTTTACGATTGCCAAGACATGGAAACAACCTAAATGTCCATCGACAGATGAATGGATAAAGAAGATGTAGTACATGTATACAATGGAATACTACCCAGCCATTAAAGAGAATGAAATAATGCCATTTGCAGCAACATGGATGGACCTAGAGATTATCACACTTAGTGAAGCAAGTCAGACAGAAAAAGGCCAATATCATATGATGTCACTTATATGTGGAATTAAAAAAAAATGACACAAATGAACTTATTTACAAAACAGAAACAGACTCACAGACTTAGAGATTGAACTTATGGTTACCGAGGGGAAGGGTGGGAGGGAGGGATAGATTGGGAGTTTGGGATTCACAGGTACACACTGCTATATTTAAAATAGATAACCAACAAGGACCTAGTGTTAAAAAAAAAAAGTAGCTAATCTCATGATAAGAAATGTAGCAGTAATCCAAATAGATTAGACTTCCAAAATATACATGTGACAGGGGTCCTTCCACTTAATTTGTGTGATTCTTGACAAATCTTTTACCCTCTATACTATTAGGCACTGTCTATAAAGACATTTGATACTTAAAAAAACAAAATATAATAAAAGAAAAAAACAGAACAGGTTGCCCTTTGATACAGAGACACAGAGATATTTTAATGTCAACAATTGTTAAAATATTCAGCTAGGCAGGTGAACACAAACTGGAGATAACATGTGAGATGGTAGTTCTCTATTTAAGTCATAATGAATCTTTTGTATTTGGGACCGGCTGAGAAACCACAGGAACTGATGAACTTTCCCCTCACTCTTCTATTTATGTTTGTGGGAGCCACATGTGCCATAAACTTAAGGCCATAAGGGTGACAAAAATAGAGTCCTGGTCCTCCAAAATCTCACATGCTACTGGAGGTTATTTATAAGAATGAAATTATTTTTCTCTTTTCTTTCTTTTTTTTTTTTTTTTTTTGCGGTACGCGGGCCTCTCACTGTTGTGGCCTCTCCCGTTGTGGAGCACAGGCTCCGGACGCGCAGGCTCAGCGGCCATGGCTCACGGGCCCAGCCGCTCCACGGCATGTGGGATCTTCCCGGACTGGGGCACGAACCCGTGTCCCCTGCATCGGCAGGAGAACTCTCAACCACTGCACCACCAGGGAAGCCCATAAGAATGAAATTATTTTTCTTGAGCAAAGTCTTAGATATTATCATGAGTTTAAGAGACAGTTATTTGTCAGATATTGTCCATTTCCTGCTTTATGATTTTTCCTTAATGCTTATCCCTATCTGAAATACTATTTTAAATATTTATTTTATCTTTTCTGTTTCCTCCTCTCTTCCACCAGAATATAAGTACCATGAGAGCACAGATTTATATCTGTTCACTACTCTTATTCTAGGATATAGAACAGTGCTTAGTAAAGCTCCTCAATAATGTTTTAAATTATTTATTGAAATATAATTCACATACCATAAAATTCTCAATTTTTAACTATACAGATCAGTGTTTTTTAGTATATTCATGAGGTTGCACAATCATCACCACCATCTAATTCCAGAATATTTTCATCACCCCCAAAAGAAACCTTGAACCCAGGAAGCAGTCACTTCCATACCCCTTTTTCCCCAGCCCACAGCACCACTAACCCACTTTCTGTCTCTTTAGAGCTGTCTATTCCAGACATTTCACATAAATGGAATCGTATAATATGTGGCCTTTTTTATCTGGCTTCCTTGGCGTAAGGTTTTCAAGGTTTGTACAAGTTGTAGCATGTATCAACGCTTTATTCCTTTTTATTGATGAATAGCATTTCATTTTGTGGGTATACCACATTTTGTTTATACATTATCAATTGATGGACGTTTGGGCTGTTTCCAATTTTTGGCTATTATGGATAATGCTGCTATGAACATTCATGTACAAATTTTTAAAAAAAATTTAAGCCAGCTTTGTTGAGGTATAATTGATATGCAGAGAACTGCACATATTAAATGTGTACAATTTGATGAGTTTGGACATATGCAAACACCCGTGATGCCATCACTACCAAGGTAATAGACATCAAGAACAAATTTTTGTGTAAACATATGTTTTCAATTGTCTCTGGAGCTCAATAACAATTTTTTGAATGAATAAATAGTCTGAGTATATACCCATCTAATAAAAATGTAATCATATTACGTACAGTATAAAGATGGTTAAGATAGACTGCAGGAACAGACACATCCACGAAAATTATGGCTATTTGGTGTAATTCAAGTAAGGAAGAAAACAGGCATTTTGCTCTGTTTACAATTGTTTGGCCTTTTCAATCAGGCTGAAGTTCAATGTTTTGGTTAACTGTGAGAGATGAGGTAAAGGAAGCCTAGAGTGAAGTCACAATTCTGGTTTCAGCTGTGCTAACGTTACATTGCACGACACTGATAAAGATGTATTTTGTTTTCCTACATGTAAAAGGGGAAAACAATGATAATTTTTGTTTTTCTACACATAATATTTTGTTCTAATATTTTGTTTTTCTACATGTAAAAGAGGAAAATAATGGTAATTTGTATAGTATCTTTTTTCCAAAACTCAGATATCATTTTGTTTTATTCCAAGCAGCCTCACTGCTATCATGTCATAGATGAGGAAACAGACTCAGAGAGATGAAAAGTCTTGCCTAACGTTACATTACACAGCTAACTTGGGGTGGGGTATGAGTTCAGAATCCCTGTATTCTGAGTCCTGGCCCGTTTCCCTCCATGTCAGAATGCTGTGTAGATAAGTCTTTGTCAGAGTCCATCATTGTTAAGCAAGACTCTTTTTATACAACATTATAATTATTTTTATTTACATAAAAATTCTCTGAATGTTTAAAACACAGTACTTCCCTGAATATGAATCCAAACAAGAGGATTCTTAGACTAGGATAATTCTCTTTAAAAACGACCTTGAGGTTACAGCTACAATGAAAGGCCACCTTGAACCCCTAATAATTAAAACATGAATAGATATCAAAGTATTTGGAAAAGGACTAAAACGGATGATGGGTTTTGTACAAACTAAGGCAGTTAAAAATTATGTGAGATGTTTAATAAATCCCCAAAGAAAAGAGACACCTAGATTCCTGAGGAGGGAGTTTTAAAAACATTGTAGCGTGTCAAGCAAATCTTCACACCTCCCTTTGCCTATATTGCCAGATATTTTTTAAAGGAGAAACAATTCCACGCTCATTTAAAACAACTATCTTGCAAGAGAAAAGTAATGTTGGAGGAATACCTTTGGAATCAAAAGCAACCCAATGGTCACTGTCACAGTCAAATGAGTATGTGCAAAATACAGCATCAACATCCAATCAGACTGAAGTCTTGAGGCAAGAACAAATCTGAAATGAGAATTCACCACATTAGCAACCCAACAAGATCTCTACTTAAAACACTAGGATACTTGGAAACTCTTTTTCTCAATGTATTAGTTAAAGAAAGAAAGCAAGAAAGAAGTCATACTGTTATTTCCATGACATATATTTTCATCACAGAAGAATAAGGGTCTAAGTAACCCTAATTAGATGCATAAGATATGAACCCTTTAGTTCTTAAAATTATCAATAGTAAGAAAGATAACACATACATATATAATGTGCTAAACACTTCCTTGGATTATTATTTTGTAGGTAAGTTGAATGTGCAAAGCAAAAGCAGTGAACACATGTGAATTCAAAACAAGAGTAGGTTAAAAAATGATTGTTTCAGGCAAATTTAGGTTATAAGACACATCCAAATAACTCTTGATCATAATATTCTTCACTTAAAAATATTAATTAGAACTGAGGGAAAAAAATGGGTAAATATCTGTTTTAGTGAATGATCCCAGAAGTTTAAATGATAAGCAATGTAATGGATAAAATGTATGTACTAATGGTTTGTAACGTGCATCTTTTTAAAATTGTTTTTAGAAATTGAAATATAGTTGACATACAAAGTGCATCTTTTAAAATACAAACCTTAGTTTTTATAGAGCATCAAATTATTTTAAAATAATTTAAAATATAATATTTAAAATCTTATCTTATTGAGGAATTTATAAACGTGTGTTCCAGGACGGCCCTTCAAGTAACATGTACAGGAAAAATTCATTATTAATATCTGATCTGGTAATTTGGGAATGTTTTCACAAATCAGTAGGTACATGTACAAACTAAAACTCATGTGTTAAGGACTCATCTTTATGCAGAAACCAGATATTGCTTTTATTAAGGTCATTTTGCATTCATATTCTTCTTTTAATGTTTTCCCATCTATTGTTTATCCATGAAAGCTAAATATGAGATTTTAGTGCTTTTGGAATTAGAGAATTAGCATTTTGTTTCAATGATATACATCATCAAATTTGAAAAGCTCATATCCTAAGAAAATGCTTATGATATAATCATGAAATAAACATATATGAATCTAAAAAGAGAAGAGACTAATTTTATTTCTTCATTATACCATATTCATGACAAATTTACTAAGTAAATTAATATTATTAATATTTGAAACAAAATTTCCATCAAGGACATTTCTTCCAAATTTTCACTTCCATCCCTCCCCCCGAAAAAAAATCAAGCTAAAATGGAAGCTCAGGAGTCATCAAAATGGAGATAGAGTTTTTTCCCCTGTGTCTGGAGATATAAAAAACATAGACTTATACACAGAAGTGCAGAATGGCCATGATACTTCACAGACAACTGAAAGGGATTTTCTGAATTAACATCTTTTCTAGCTCCTTTGTGAGAAAAGTGGCTTCATACCTGCTTTGAATGTGACTGAATGTTCACTTTGTTCAGGGACGGGATACTTTTGACTATACAGTCTGTGCTGGGTCAAGTAAGATTTTTTTTTAAGCATTAAAATAGGATCATCTTACTCAATAAAAAGTTATAGTCTCTGAGACAGAATACTGAGGCACAGAAGCAGTAGAAAATGTACCTCTGAAAATAATACAATCCCAATCTGCTGGGGCCCCTGCCTGTACTGGAGCAGACAGTCACATCAAAGGAGATGGATTTACAGTCAAAAAGCAGCCTCATGCACTGGGAATTCCCATCTCAAATGCCAACACAGGTGAACTTGAAACTAGCCTGACAATATCTGGAAAAAAGAATGGGTACATATATTTTGAATTAAAACAGTGAATCTTCCAAAAAATAATTTTGAGATATGCTAACATCGATTGTCCTTAATCAGCTTTTAATTACTGCCAGATTTTTTTAGGTTGCAGTTTTGATTAGAAATACCTTAAGAACTGGGTTTTGAAATAGTATTAAAGCTTCATTTTAAAAAATAGTATTTCAACTTAAAAAATCGGTCCAAAAATCAGGCACATCGAAATATTTGAACACTGAGGCTAAGAATAAAGGCAAACTTTTTAAAAGCCTTGCACTTTCCCAAAGGTTTGCTTTATGCTTAGTACTAAAAATAAGTAAAGGGTTAGAACAGACTGAGAGAAATGCCTTCTCATCATTTATCCTTCTAGACTTAACCCTTTTAGGTTATTTTTGTTCAGTCTGACAATTTGGTAAGAAAGAAGGTAAATCTGTACATAATATGTAGTCATAGTTTTTAATTTATATATGTGTATGTATAAATATGAATACATACATATATGTATACATAATTTTATATTTTAAGCAGACAAGAAGAACATATATATCCTATTGATAGAGAATATCTTTGCTAATGTTGGATGCCTTATTTAATATTATTTCATTCTAGGAAAAAATTGCCAAGATGGATCCAGCTGATTTAAATTTTTATGTTATTGCTTTTAATCCTTGAACTTTATTAATGCTGGAACCACAGCATATATGAACTCAGTCCACATGTAAATAAGAAATTGTGCATACTTGATTTCTTTAATTATCACTGTGTTTTACTTGCTCCTGGCTCATCCCCCTAAAATCAGTGTTCTGTAGATTCAATGTGTTAAGCTATAATTCCATCACTGGTCCCTTATGGCCATACAAATTAAACATTCAAGAGAGTAGCTACGATCCTTTGAAGCCAATGTGCCACCATCTAATCGAGTCTGGTCTATGTAGAAAGGTAAGTCAAATTTGGAACTTGAAATGCAGAGCTTCCCATTCAGGTTTGCTTAGCCTTGCCTAAGAAGATACCAAAAGATACCAAGGCTAGTCCCTCTGCTACCATTTGAAGTCCTCCCTGTTCAAAACTGATAGGGAATTAAAGAGTTGTCTGGAAGAAGAGTATGCTATGTCTGCTCAATACCAAACCTACTAGGTTCACCATGAACCATTCAATCAGAGGTTGCGTCTACGTGAACCCAGCTCATGGTTTATATGATTCTTCTGGCTGGGTTGTTTGGGACTCTGTAGGAAAGACCTAACCAAAGTAAGAAAGCTATTTTCAACAAGTATTTAACATATTTCCTATCACCCTCGTTCAGTGATCAAACAGTGTTTTCTGAAGCGTGGCTGCTGTTATCAGATGTAAGGGTTGGGGGGATTCCATGGTCGGTTACATTTGGAAAATGTTGGTTAAACAAAGTTAAACAGGTATCTGTACAGCAGGACTTCTCGGTATGCTAGCTTCACTGTGACATTCCTAGAAGGGAGCTATCAAATGTGATGTGTCATAAATACACATGCATATAAAAAAATCTAACAGTGATTTACTAATATGTTAATAGTGCCTATCTTTGGGTGGTTGGATTAGGGAGTTTATTTTCTCTTTATCACTTTATGATTTTTTTTGAAATAACCATCTATTGCCTTACTATTAAGAATTTTTTTAAAGTTCATTTAAAAATCATTTACCTTGCCTACTTCTGAAAGGACTTGGGCCAGCTGAGAGTTGAAAATCTATTGAAAAAACACATTAAATGATGGAAATTGAACAGAGTAAAACTGAACAGGTTGAAAAGATATAGATCAATTTTGGCAACTGTGTTGAACAGATTTAATTTCTTGGGCAATTAATTTGGTTCTAAGAAACATAACAGTTAATTTTAGGGCACAAGTGGGAAACTCTGCATGACAGTTACATTCTGACAGTAGAAGACATTTAAACTCATCTGTGATAAGCCTTTTTTTTCAATTTTTATTTTTTACTGAATATGGCTGATTTACATAGCCACTGTTTTATTTATTTATTTATTGGCTGCGCTGTGCAGCATGTGGGATCTTAGTTCCTTGACCAGGGGTCGAATCCCGGGCCCCCTACATTGGGAGCGTGGAGTCTTAACCACTGGACAACCAGGGAAGTCCATGTGATAAGCCTTCTTACATGCTTATAACTCTCTAGTTGGTTTGTTAATATAACATTTAACTTATCAATGGTTCTAGATAAGCATGTTTGTTAGATCTTGAAACATATGTGTTTGATGTTCTGAAAACAACAACAAAAATGATGCAGCTTTTTTGGGGAGAGGGGTTGGAAGAAATGTGAAGGCTCTGGAGCTCTGGCACCATGACAAAGTGCCCTCTCGTGCTCACGGCATTTTAGACCAGGGCATCCTCACTCATATCCTTGAGCTCTAGTCTGAGTGGAACTAGACAAAGCATCCTTTTCTTTGCTTATTTATGATTTCATATTCTGCATCTCATCTTTCCTCCCTCTTCTACTCTCTCTTTTCTCTCTCTTGAGAGAGGGCAAGACAAAGCAAGGGGGCAAATTCCCTTGATTCCTGGCCATCTCTGATGGAATTTCCAGGGTTGTCAGATCATAAATACCTCTTTCTCTTACTTTAAGAGTTTAAAAAGTGTAGATTATGCCTGAGCCCCAACTGTTCTTTGGCATCATCTATTCCTAGAAGTGCAAGATGCCATTTTATGATTATTGACTAAAGTGAGAGGTGATAAACATCCTGCAAAACTTCCGCAGATCCACACCTTTTCACCCTATTATTCATCTCTATCTGTGCACTGCGGGCCAAGACTAATATTCAAAATTTCTAATTACATTCTTAAGTTTGTCCTAACTTTTAATATATGTCGAGCAATTAAATGGCATCTTTTTGTTGCTTTTCAGGCTATAGGATTCCTTTTTGGTTGTTGTTTGGTTGTTGTTCTTGTTGAGGTAAGTCATACATATTTCATTTTGTTCACTTATCATAAGCCACTTTCTTCCTCCTTTGTACTCATTGGTTATGGAGATACATGGAATAATAAGAAACGGAGGGCCAAGCCATATTTTCTTACCACAGAAAGTCATCACTACAGTGTAATGGTGAAAGAACCCCACTGCACACAAAAATCCAGTCATCAACTTGGAGTGGTTTTTTGGTTCTGAATTCAACAGATTTCACATACATAAGTTATCTGAGTGTTAAAGTTTTGAAAGTATAAACCAGCATAATAAACATGAATGAAAACATAGACAATTTACCTGTATCTATTTTATAATGTATGCATGTATTGCTTTATACCTTCAGAACAAACAGTATTATGTATCATAAACAATATACCTAATGACATCCCCATAAGTGGTTTAACACAATACAATAACATTGAGTTACCCTTCCAAATAAATGAAGGCAATAAACAACTCATCAGAAGGAACTAAGAACAGCAGAGTTTAAAAAAAAAAACAAAACGATTCATTTGCCATTTCTGTGACAAAGAAATTAGTCAACTTATAAAACACTATCCTTCCTACATCTTTCCATTATGTATCTTATCCAATTTTGCCATTAAATTAAACTGCAACACATCAGAAAAATAAAACAGTTGTTGAGTGGCTCTGCAGATCACTTGCCTAATTGTATGGAATATAGCGGAGATAATGAGCTCATTGTGAACTGCAACAGCCATATAGCGTGGCTCGTGAAAAGCTGATGGGACCGTTCGCACCGCGTAGCAGAGATAAACACCCCATAGGAGGAATAAAAATTCAGCTGTGAGAAGAACAAACAAACAATTCTCTGTTAGTTTTACAGGTGAAGAAGGCAGTAAAATTTAAGCTCTTCAGCATGCATTTTGTGTCTAGGATAGAAACACATAGAAATAGATGCAGACAAAATGTTCATATATGAATACTTATGCCATATATTTATTTAAAATTTTTATTCAGTGTATAGAGGATTTTTTCACAGGTACCCTTTGTGTTTTTTTTAATTAAAAAAATTTTTAAATAGTGTTTGGCATCTCAGATTTTGTGTCTGTGTGTGTGTGTGTGTGTGTGTGCGTGCGCGCTAATACCTGGCTTTTTCCTAAAACAATTGTAAAATAATTTTCCACATTCCAAACTTAAGTTTAAGCTGTTCATAGAGCATCTGGGTCACAATAAAGCCCTCAAGGCAACAAAAGTTTATAATGTGTTTATATGCAGCTCCTAGAAATTTAAATTCTTACTGCATTGAGTCTGGTCCAATACATAAAGACCTCCATTGCCAGAAATGTGAGAAAATAGGCTGCTAAACATTCAGTGGCATAGTTTATAATGGAACCATTATTTCTTCACACATGACAGACATCACATCTTTGGAGGGTATATGCTGAAGGCTTAGTGAAATTCACAATTACCTCGTTTGCTTGCTCAAGCCAGAAGAGACAAGCATAGTGTAGCAGTTAAGGATAGGGCTTCAGAGTCACACTAGACCTGATGGGGAATTCTAGCTGGATCCCTAATTAACTTTGCATAATCTGAGGCAATTTAACCTCTCTGGTCACAGTCTCCTTCCCTGGAAAATGAGGATAATAAAAGTACGTATTTCATGGGATTATTTGCTAATGAAATTGAATCATGGCTATAAAGCACTTAAGAGTTTCTGACAGAGTAGATGTCAGATAAATAAATAAATAAAAACAGATGGTAAATAATTGGTTCTTATTGTTAAACATCTCCTTAGACTTTTTTTTTTTTCAAACTGAATGTTGTTACTTTAATTCATTCTGAGCAGTAACTGTTACCATCCATTTTATCTGTCTTAGTGACATGACCTCATGGGAAGATGATATCTAATTAACAAAAAGAAAGCTCTAATCTGGAGAAAACATTTCACCAAATGCATTACCTAGGGGTAACCTACTTATATACTGAAACACTGATTTCCAGTCCCATATGCCCAGGTGTTTTACCTGCCAAAGTTTCAGCATATTTCTACCATATTTAAACAATAAGCAGTGCCCTACTCATTGAAAATCCCTTAAGTAAACACATCTGTCAAGAGTTACTCTAAAACCCTGATGTGGTCAGAAGTTAAAGGGAAAATAAACCTCACTCAAAGGTCTCCATGAGATTAGAGTGGAGGTCCCAATTATTCTGTAGGTTGGCCACTGGCCATGTCTGTGAATGTTCTTTCCAGCCGGGCTCTACTGGGTCAGGAAATACTGACGTGTTCGTGTATAATTTTCTTTCCTAAGGCTTGTACTTTTGTCCATACTACTACTATTGCCTCTTCACTCAGGTTTGAAATCTCAGTGCCACCTTTCACTGACACATTTCTACCCTGAGTTACTTTTCATGTGTATCACTTCTCTCAATGTCCACAATTATAATCCTTGCCCAAGCTCCTACCAGTTTACTCCTTATTTGTTACTATTATTTATCAACTGTCCCATCTAAACCTGGATTCACCCTTTATTAATTCATTCTTCATAACAGTGACAAGTTCATTTTTCTGAAGCTCCACTTTGATCATATCAGGATTTGTCCAGATCTCTGCCACTCCATTTGGGTTAACTGATTCGTATTTCCATTAGAAGATTCACTCACACCCACTTAGGACCCTGGAATAATTCCTGCTCCCAAAGGAAGACTACAGGGGTTCCTGCTAGGACAGACATATCTCAAGTTTCAAGACTCTGATGACTTTCTTGCAAGAAAGTTTCAAGACTTTCTTGCCACCCAGGCTTCCTGTTAGCTGTCCCATTGCTTGGCCTTATTCTTTTGTGCTTGTATATTTCTTAGACTCTGACTTCTTGCCTAGTCTCTGGTCCTCACGTTAGCCTTTTGTAAGGAGCTGCAAGCATCTTCATTTAGAAATCTTCAGTAGCTCACTACTGTTTTACTCCTTGCCCTCTATGACCTCATGTTATGCATCCAACACAGTCTCCCAAAGCTCCCCATCACGAACTCTGAGCTGACCCAGGAAGACTCACTGTCCTCTGAACACTCCAAAGATTCTTCTTGCTTCTGAGTCTTTGTTCATGCTATTGCTCACATACGACATCTCCTCTCACCCACATTTCTAAACATTAACCAATTTTTCAATGTCTGATTCAGGTCCCACCTCCATCACAAGGCCACCTGAAATGATTCTAACTTACACTGAAGTTTCCTTCCTCTAATCTCTTACAATTTTTAACTATGTATACTACACAATGCAGAGACTAATAATGCCACACAATATCTAATTGGGAGAAAATTGTTCATGGAGTCTTGAGCCCCGACTGTGATGATCTTCTTCAGGGCAAGAATTGAGTCTTTCATTTATTTTTTCTGTCTTTGCCCACATAGATGATAGCAACAGTACTGATCACACATGGATAAGATTTAATAAATATTTGTTGAATTGAATGAATATAAATGATATCAGTTTCACGTCATTAGAGATGTAGGCTTTCTGTTACATTACCACTCCATCTAACCCTGATGGATGTCTAGATCAATCTAACATCTATACACATGATCTGAAGATCATACTGGCATTATGCCTAATAGTGGCAATTGCTACTTACTGACAGACCGCTAGGTGTGTGGTACTGTGCTTGGCATGCAAGAATGATGAATGCAAAAATATTATTATTTTTTAAACATCTTTATTAGAGTATAATTGCTTTACCATGGTGTGTTAGTTTCTGCTTTATAACAAAGTGAATCAGCTACATATACATATATCCCTATATCTCCTCCCTCTTGTGTCTCCCTCCCACCCTCCCTATCCCACCCCTCTAGGTGGTCACAAAGCACCGAGCTGATCTCCCCGTGCTATGCGGCTGCTTCCCACTAGCTATCTGTTTTACATTTGGTAGTGTATACATGTCCATGCCACTCTCTCACTTTGTCCCAGCTTACCCTTCCCCCTCCCCATGTCCTCAAGTCCATTCTCTACATCTGCGTCTTTATTCCTGCCCTGCCCCTAGGTTCTTCAGAACCAAAAAATATTATTAAACAATGCTAGTACAAAAATATACTGTAAGTGAAGGATTCACATGTAGCTGAATTATGAAAACACTATCCCCTGCCACCTATTGCAGTGTTTTCATATAACGTTATACTCAAGATTTTTTTTAAAGAAAAGTAGTTATCAGGTGAATTAGTGTGCTACAATGGAGAACTGCCTCTAAAAATATAAGACAAAATAAGATTCCTCCTAACAGCTAAGCTGAACATTAAAATCACTTCATAAGCAATATCAAACAATATGCTCTGGCTTAAAAAAATATAATTAACTTCAGACTAACACTGCAATTAGTAAAGAAAATATGCAGATGTTACCAAATTTTGCAGTGTTATTACATGGGAGTTGAAATATGTGCTGTGCTTCTGCTTTAAAAAATAATTTCTGGTGGTAAATGATTTTGATGGGAGGCATGGGTACAGTTAAAAAGGAAATTGCATTCATATTCAAAGATTCAAATAGGGCTTTCAGAAAACTGAGGTATTCTATTTTTAATCTATAAGGAATGACACTTAGTCAAAAGTTAACTACCATAGCTTTTAAAAAATTAATATGCCATAATGAAAGTAATTTCAAGTTATCTTTCCAAAGGCCTGGGTCAGGCAAAGAAGTGAGAATTAATATCAGTTCTTTGCCACTGAAGATGTCCCAGATCTGTTATCTTAGAACACCCACAGGGGCTGAGAGAAAGACAACATCAAAGTACAAATGTCTCTCAAGCTGTGGTCCTCTGCTTTGCCATGTTGCAAAGGCATTTTGTATTTAATAACATTTTATGCCTCTTAGCCTGTTTAAAAATTAGTTTACATGGCACAAATAAATACACACAAGAAGCATTTAGGTTGCATTTTCCAAGCGTGTCTTTTAATTTTGTCTTCTGTTTTTCTCTAAATCCTATCCACTTAGAAAATTTATGGTCAAAGTAAACTTACTCTGTTTTTATTCTAATAGTATGGTGGGCTGCATAGAAGTTATGGTTAAGTACTAAGTCAAAGAACTTCAATAATGCTTGAGAACAGCTCAAATTCTATCATTCCAGGGTTTGACTTCAAACAGAAGCCTTGATACTCTAGAGGCTTTCTGCCTTTTCTTTGGTTAAAATAAAGACAGTTATGAGACGTACAATGATGAAAACCATGAGAATGATACTCCTGGTAGAATCTTAAAGGGTGAAGCGACTTTGTGAGACCACGTGGTCTGCGGGTACATTTTTCAGTGTGTGGATGTGGCCGTGAAAGTGCTGCTTGGTGAGCTGCAGTTATCCTGGTTGTGGTGAAGTCAGTTTGTTCACCTGAGAAGCATGGAGAAGATGGATGTTGCAATGTATTTCACAACTAGGACACCGGGGACCAGAATGTCTGTTCCCTTCTCAGCTCCTGGGAGCAGCAAATCACAGGGATGGGCAGAGCTGGGCCGTAGGATACGCCCATGGAGAAGCTAGCTCCATCCCTGCTGACTCATAGTGAAGACAGCAGAACAGGGACTGGATCCCAGGTCTCCTGGTTCCTGACCAGGGCTCCCTAAATTACATCCTTCGACTGAGACTTTCTTTTGCTTTATTACTAACAGAGGTGGACAAAATCCTTGGAAGTATTTTTACCCTACTGAAGAAAATAAACATTTTTCCAAGCATCAATTGTTTGTGTCTTAAACAACTAATATACTAATTAGAATTAGCCAGTGGTAGTTAAAAGAATTCTACTCAAAAGTACTTTTTGTCCCTTATTTCGTCTGACTTCATAGCTAACATCTGTTGAATGTGCCAGGTGCTC